CCCCAAAACCCCAAAACCCCAAAACCCCATGATTCTTAAATTCATTAGAGTAGACTAGTATATTAATAAAGTATTTTACGAAAGTTTCAGCCTCTATATAATCAAATATATAATATGACATTAAACACACTGAAGCTTTTAGTTTTCTGCATATCCATATCATATAGCTACTGTTTTATGTTTGTTGGGTCGATATCTTCCTTAACAGCCATGCCGTTTAGAGATAAGTTTGTCTATACGACCCTAAATGTACTCGATTTCTGCTTATATCCAAGAGATACATACTTTGGCACAACTCATTATGCTTTCAGAGACATCACAAAAATGACTTTGAAGAGAGATAACAAAAGTGACGTAAATTACCTTAATCACACCAGAGCATTGATGAAAATGTCGAACCCTAGCTATTTTGGTATTCATACTTTCAATTTATTTTGCCTAATTCAAAAATATAGATGATATTATTTATAAGAAAGGTGATGATTTTAAAATTCCTCTAATCACTCACAGGGTTTGGATTACTGATGTCAAATTTCCAAAGGAAATAGATCATAACTTAAATCAAGACAAACTTGATAAATTGGCTGTGACCTACTATTAATTTGAAGAATCATCATAATAAAAAGGTCTTAACTGGACTCATTATTTATGGGTATAAGATAAATCGTTATTACCAGAAACAGTAGAGTTTTTTGAAAGTTTAGGTGTTATCGTAAGAGAAGTAAAAGAATTAGAAACTATGAAAAACGAGAGAGTTAGAAAGTAATTCGACTACTATGTCGAGGACCTTAGAGCAGTAGCAGCTGCTAGTGATTTAATGAGAGGTATCACAGTGTTAGAGTACGGTGGCTTATATTTTGATAATGATTATTACTTTACAGAATGGGACTATAATCTTAACTATTACTTTGATTACTATGCTATAACTCTACCATTATCCTGGAATCTAGGAGTAATGTTAAATGGATTTTTCGGCGCAAAGAAAGGTCATATTGCCATTAAGAATTATGTAAAAACAATGGTTGAAGCATTTAAATTTGAGAGCGAAGAACAGGATAGACCACTCTACCTCAACTCATGTACTTTCAAAACAACAGCATCTACCATGATCGGTACCGGTCCAACAGCTTTTGGTAGTTCATCTCTAAACTATCTTAACAGAAATGGAAATCAAGATATTATTGTGAGAGAAAATCCATAAATACAAAGTTATACTCATATTAAAATTCTAAATGAAAAAGGAGAGGTGGATAAACTGACCATTTCAATATCTGGTAAAGACTCTTATTCAGCATCATGGTTAAATGAAAGCAGAGATATGCTGACCTTTGGTTGGCATGACCTAACAAAATTCTGATTAAAAAAGATTTTAAAACAATTTTAATAAAACTCAATGAAAATATACGAGATTATTTGCTCTATAGGGGTTTTGGGGTTTTGGGG